ATCACAGAGATCTGGAAAATTATGAGCAGAGCAGAATAGATAGCGTTAGTGAATTTATTAAACCCAGGCTACCCAGGCTGCGAATCGAGAAAGCTTCAAATTTTCCAAGTGAATTACCTGCATTTTACTGCGATTCTCGTTATAATAACCCTAGGTCTAGGGTGCATACCATGCTCGGTGGAACGTTTCAGAAGCGCAGATTTAAGGGACCGGAGCATGCCCGTATGTCTTTAGGGTCACAGAGAAAAGCCCGTTACTCTGCCCAGTCAAATGGTCTGGGTCACAAGCCAACTTGTCGCCATTTTGCTAAGAACAGGTTCAAACCTAATAACATACCATCAGATGCCGTATCTGCAGATGAAGTCAGTCAACCTGATGATACCGGTGCTGATCTGACTTTGCCCTCTGATATACTGGTCTCAGACCCTTCGTCTGCAAATAATCTGGAGGAAGCAAAGGTGCTTGGTAAGCATAGTTGTATGTTTTATTCTCTCAATATCCTCATGACCATTGTCTGAGCTAACGTACTTAATTTATAGCTTCTTCCTCCGTCATGCTCGTTGCTGGCATTGCCGTCGGGGAGACTAAAAAGCCTCAACATAATCATCCCATTGTCGGTGGTTCTCCTGCTAAAATTGTGGATAAATTATCCCAAAAAGCTGAAAAATTTCATTCTACAACTGAGTCAGGAAAAAAAAATATTGAATTTAAGCATGTATCTGGGTTGAATCATCCCAGTGAGTTGCCTGATCGCTCTTCGCCCTTCGTCACTATTAGTTCGATATGCGACTCAGTCCATTAATCTATATTGAATAGGCTGTTATGTTTAATGCACTTTTTCTTTTCTATTCTTTGTACATTTCCCCTTTATTTTTTTAAAATTTACTCTTGTAAACAATTTTTAGCCGATCAATTATATTCACTACTCAAAGCCCAAAATTTTCTTTATATTTTATTTGCTTTTCCTCACAGCTGTAGATCTCAAGAGTTTTATCTCTCTTTACTAATTTAATCATGCATATTGTTTAGTCTAGTTCATGGAGACAGACAGCTTGTGTTAGTGACTTTTCTTTATTCTTTGGCTGCACAGCCATACATAGTTGCAAACCAGAGCTTATCAGTCATCTCATTTCCGGCGATCGGTTACCTCTGTTGCTCAGTGTTCAATACTCTTGTCTCTTCTAATATATTATTAGCACCTTTATTTGGAGTATATACGGATAATTTCATCACCATCCGGAAATTGGTCTTGGTATTAGCTACATAATTAATTTAATCCATCTTTGGTGGATAAACGCCATCAGACGACTCGCCTTATGACAATTAATCCTGTTTATTTACCGTTAAGATGGAAGAGGGCTTATCTGCGATTCACTTTGGATGATTAAACCTATTAGCACACGGGCTAAGCAAAATTCAAAGGCGCAGGGAGGCTGACTCATCTCGTGTGACCTATATAACCGTGAGTCCTGAAGTCACTCTGTGTATATAAACAGCTGACTATGGTATGTTTGCATCCAAAAGTAAAATTGGAGAAGCCATCGAAATAAACCGAATACGAAAAACATTGAATGTAAGTAATACTGGTAAGGAGATAAGTAAAAATTACTTGTGCTTAATTAATTGACTGAACGATAGAGGGAGCTGAGCCGCCTGCAAAAAGGAGGCAATACAACTGGTCTTTTCTTGTCCTGTTTCTAATAATAGTCACTTCTCTGTGTTTTATGCTTACTCTTTCTCTTGCATTGAGACCAAACAAAAAAGGCTCATCAACGAAATTAGACGAGTGTCCACAATCTGAGTGATGTCATGACATATGTAGAAAGGGGGAGATAGGGGTCATCAAACCTTGTTGGGCAAATGCAGATGTTACTTTTCGCTGTCTAGATTACTTTTAACCCATCACTGCGTATTTCGTGCATAAGCAAACACATACATACAGACACACTCACAGGCATCTAAGTTGACATATGGCCGTAACTAACCAAATTACTTCATACTTGATCAGAGGCCAGATGCGGAGTATATATACTGCTTTTTCGGGATTTGTTGATGAGTTTCCTTGACCTAGTCTGAATTTGGTTGTGACGATGATACCTTGCTGTGATGATATTCGTCATGACGGACGAAAGCTTAGCATCTCATCGGAATCAAGCGAGATCACTTTGGGAAGAGCGTCATGAATCTTCACTTAAAGCCAATCGACAGCTGGTTAAAAGGAATCCGCCTTAGTCTTCTGGTGGAACCTACCTTCGAATCTCTTCACCCAACGCTTCCAATCCAAATGGAAGTAAGCTCAACAATAATGAAACAAAAGATTCTTTGAAACCCAACGTTTCTTCGCATATACTGGCCTAGTTCTGATCTAATATTTGACTTAGTAACTAGTATTTCATCTGTCTGCAGAGAATCAAAGATAATGTAAGGTCTATTCGCCAAATTAATTTATGGTGATGAAGTATTAGTAGATTCGCACGATGATATGGTAGATATGACAGCACGGATTTCATGTAGCCTTCCATTCCGGAAGGGCGCTTCAATCCAGGATAGACTCGGAACTATTCCACATTATCACCGACGCCTTTGGGCAGGTGTGAGTTTTAAGGATGCCCATAATATTTTTGCGAAGAAAAGACTCCTTTTCAGTACATTAGCATTGCTTCGAGACGACCATTGAATCAATTATTAGGTGTATTCACTACTTCTCTTATGATGATGAAGGGCCGGTAGTATAATTTTCCCATATGATGTATGATTGGAAATTGCGTTGTGTTGAGTTTCAGATGGCCTTTCTTTCACATAATTTTTTTAATCCAGGTTGACTGCCGTTTCGACTTCGCCTAGGTCTTATCGGCAGTCGAACCTTCACAGTCCAGAATGTGCGCCTGACACTAACCATTCTGCCGCGTTGTCACGAGTGTCATCATATCACTGGACAGATGTGAATTTCAAGGAATGCCAGGCCTTACACCGTATTATAATATTTTCTAGTGTTGTCGATGAAGCAAGACCATGTGAAATTCGATGAAAACGTCAGCACTACCTGTGACTGTGGGAAAGTTCTACTATCTTAAGTTCATCACCTTAAGCGAAATAGGGAATACGTCATATAGCGATCCATATTGACTTACTGGAATTTTATGAACTCTAGTCCACGTCACGAAATCGAATTCTAAGATATAGAACATTAAAACGCTATTACAATTTATAGAGTTTGTTTGAGCTTGCGACATTTTATTTATCCCCGTATATCTGGGCATGCGAAATCACGAACGGAATGAGAAAATAAATTATTCATGGCAGATGAGACTAAATAACGATGCTAACCTGTAGAATAATTACACATTTAAATGGCTTGGGGCATAACTATTTAGTCATGGTCTGATTGAGAAAATGGTGAGTAGAGGAATACCTATTGCCATAGAGTGAATAATAATAATATAACCAATGTATAAGTATATGATTGGTTTACAAACTATAAATATGTTTAAGCCTTTATAGCCTACGTGCGCATACTGTCACACTTTTGTCAAGTTTAAACTCGTTTCCATGCCAAGTATATGCGTACCACCGTGTCTCCCATATACAACATGTTGAGTTAGTGAATGTGTCTGATAATACAA